ATAAACATAAAAGTCCTGAAGCCTCCGTCATCTCGCGCTCCCGGCTCGACATCCTGACCTGAAAAACATGATAACAGTGGGTCGTGAGCACTATAACACTGTGCTCCGTGGAAACTCATACTAATGTAAACATCAAAAATAATAACAACATCATGATTTTGGCATATACATAACCTGAACATGAAACCGGTAATAACATGAACATGAATCTGATATCATCACGTGAATGTGAACCATGAACGTTACCTCATCTGCCGGCACAAACTAATGCCGGACACCATGTGCACACTCTAGTGGGCAGACTAGGGCCACTAGAACCCAGAATGGACCGCGACCATTCCGAGCGGATACATGACATGAAATACATAACTCAAACATGGTACCGTAATTATAATCAATGTAGTACTTAGTCTGAGTCCCCACCTGATCCGTGAAAGTAACGGTAGTGCTGATACTCGTGACCTGATCAAACTGAAATATAATATAAACAATTACTAATGACTATGCTCAGACTGTTAATGTAATATCCCTACATTTTATCAGTATAATTATATATTTTTAGTTCTGATTTTTTTTTTCGGAATTAATTATTTTCAGTTATTTCAGTCGGAATTACCGGAAATTACTTTCGACGTACCGTTTACGTTCGGAATAATTTTGGTAATTAAGCATTATGTTTAATTGAATAGTTAAACATAATTAAGTGACTAATTATCTATTAATTCCAAGGTTAGTCATTTTTTTAATCATTCGGTCCTTTCAAACCATTCCAAAATGCCGTGCACTTTTATGTTAGTAGTTTATTCATTTTTCTTTCTTGGTAGTGTTCATGTTGGTGAATTGGTCCAAGAGATTCCTTGTCCTCTTAAAATGTCGTGCGTTTTTGTAGTGGTGGTGAGATGTCCCATTTCTTTATTGCTAGTGTTTTGGTCCAAGATTCCTTCCCTTGTCCTTTATGCCGTGCATGTAAGTGGTAAGTGTTCAAGCATCTCTTCTTCATTCTTGGTACCTTCACGTGACTTCATGAGGCTTAAGAAGAAGTTGCATGGTTGCCATGTGTCCTAAGCCTAGTTGCATGTGGGAAAAGTGTCCTTAGCATTTGACCATATATTCTCTCCCTCACCATTTTGGTCATTCGGTTTTTACTTATTAGTGGTGTTGGGAAATTTTCTTTTCACCTTCTCTCATGTTAGTTCATATATATTTTCCCAACACATAGCAAAAATTCAGCAAAGCATCTTAGCCTAGATTACTCGCACGGCTAGTAGCTATCGCACGGTGCTCGTCGTACAAGCAAGGCCACGCTCAAGTACCGCACGGTTAATCGCTAGTAGTAAATATCGCTCGCATAACCGGAGTTCTTCACGGCAGTCAACACATCACACATCGATCAGGAGTACGCAAGCATCTTCAAGTGTTGTAGTGGTCCGCCGCTCGCACCATAAGACATCGCACGGCGTCGCACACACGCGGAGGGTCACGGCCGAGAGCGGGAGTTCGGAAAGAGTAGTCTCCGGAGCTT